TGGGATCCGCCTCGGGTGACTTCCGAGGCGGACCAGAGCTGGGACAGGCAGGCCGGACAGCCTTGCATGGACCCCCGCCTCCTCGCGCCTTCCTCCCCGGCACACACAAATTAATGACTCTGTGCGTGAAAAAATAAATACACAAAGCTGGGACTGGCCTCCAGCCGGCCCTCCAGCCGGGCACGTCCCTGCGCAGCGACATCCCTCCCGCGAGGGTCCCATGAGGCTTCTCCCCGCTCGCAGCGGGACATCCGCGGCACGAGCACGGCGTGGGCTCCCCGCGGCCCCGGACCCGGCGGGGACCGCAGCAGGGTCCTCCCGTCCCGTCCTGTCGCCGCGGGCACGCTGTCACAGCCGTCGGGGACACCCGGGCGGGCACCGCGGCGCGTCCTGGCTGGGGACGGGTACGGCAGCGCCGGTCGGGGACGGGGCACCCGAGGCAGACTGCGCCTGTCCCCGTCAGGGATTGAGGTCGCCGGGACCGGGAGCATCGGTCCCCGCCGGGATGAGGGAGCCCGGGACGGGCAGCGCCAGGGCACGGCACATACCCGTCCGGGGTGAGAGACCCCATGGCGGGCAGTGCGGGTCCCTGCGGGGTCTGGGGGACACGCGGGGGAGGCGCCGAGTCCCGTCCCGCCGGAGCAACCCCGTTCCCAGCGCGCCCGCAGGTGCGGAGCGGGCATCAGAGCGGGCAGGGCAGCCCGCACCCTCGGCAGCTCACCTGCCTCCGAGACAATACCGAGCCAGAGCCAGAGGGGCAGCGTGCAAACTCTCCTCATCTCCGGGGCTGCCGGCAGGTCCGTGCGATGCGGAGCGGTGCGAGCGCCCCGCGCCCGAGCTCTGCTCCCGCCGCGCCCCAGCTGCGGCGACGCGCGGCAGCGGCGGGCGGGGAGCACCGGGGCCGCTTCCTTTTCCTCCGCCCGCCGGGGCCGCCCGCCGCCCTCCGCCGAGCCTCGGGGCGCCGGGCGGGCGGGGCGGGACGGGGAGGGGCGGTGGAGAGGCAGAGGGGGTGGGGGGAGCGCACCTGCAGCTCTGAGCACTGACGGGGAATCCGCACTCCCCGCACCAGCGGGGATGCGCGCATCCCTTCGCACCTGGGTGTCTTCACCTGTGTGTGTGGGTCTGCGTCCCTTGCATCTGGGGGGCAAGTGTGTTCCCCACCCGTGTGGGTGGGTCTGCATCATCCCTGACCCATGGACACATGAGCATCCCCATACCTGCGTGTATTTTCACACCTGCGTGCACCCCGTGTGTCTCCCTGCATTTGTGTGAGAATGCCCGCATATCGCCCGTTTCTTGGCTGTGCCTGGGTGCACAACCCGACCTCTCAGAGCAGAGGGAATGCACACAAACACGCTCTCAACAACAGCACATACGCACTCCACGCGATGGAACACATCTCTCACCTGCCTGCACACACCTCTTTATGCCTGTGCACCCCCTCAGTTCCACACCTTACGTGTTCGCACACACCCAGGCACACTCTCCTGCACACACGCCTTGAACCTCTCTCCTCCCGCACTCCCTGGGCCACACACAGACTCACACGCACTCGGGTGTGCTCACACTCGCACCCTTATTCATCGGGGGTGCAGCAGGGCCCCGCATTCACGCCACGCACGGTGCCAGCAGCGTGGAACAGCCACGTTGTCCCTCAGCACCCGCTCGGTTCTCTGGCAGGTACACACCAAATCCCCACACTCCCGTGGCGCTGGCAGAGGAGCGGTGCCGTCCCACTGGTGCCAGCGGCGCTGCCAGCGACAGCGGCTCTGACTCGGAGCGAGCTGGCTGCGAATGCGCCACAGACGGAGGCGACGGCAGAGCTCTGGGAGCGCGGTGGCACAGCCTGGCCAGCTGCCTGTGCACCCAAGGGGCGCTGAACGGATAAATTAACACGGCCCCGCTGCGCCCCAGAGGATTATTAATTACGCTCACTTGCAGGCAGTGAAGAAACAGCCTGAATGAAAGCCATGCGCTCACGGCTTCAAAAAGGCAGGGAAACTTCTGGTGCACGCAACTGCTCACGTTGCCAAACCTGCAGAAGAAATCATCCTGTCCCTCTCCTGGAGCCCTCAGAGGGACTCTAAGTCACAGAATTTATTTTATTTATTTATTTTACCCGACTGCTGATTAGTGAGTTTTAAACTCAGAGAGTGCGGACTCCATCACTCTTCAGCACACTCAGCTTGGATCACCTCCCTCCTGGATCTCAGCAGAGCAGAAAGTGGCCATGTCCCTTCATCCCAGGTGGGTGTCTAAGCCCCTCAGGTTTAAGGAGAGACTTCTAAACCTTGCCATGATAAGGGAGAGCTGGAATGTCACAGAGGGGTGGCACTGCCCAGCACTAAGGAGTGAAGAGCTGAGGTTGTGGGATCAGAGCCCTCGCCAGTGACAGGGGCTGTGACAGACGGGGCAGCCACGCAGTGCACCCACTCTGGGGACAGCATGGGGGTCCGCGCCCTTGGTGAGCGGTGAGGTGCTGAGGGGTGGCAGTGACAGGGGAATGAATCACATGGCACCACTGAGCTGCTGGCCGAAGTGCGCAGTCAGAGTGTGCCTGGAGAAGCTGAGTGCGAGAGAAGCAGAGGGTCTGACTTGCGGTTGAGGGGAGGCAGCTTCTGGCACCCCAAAAGCGAAGGGATTTTGGCATCCTCCACTCGCCGCAGTCCGAACGTGGCGCGGTGCAGGCGGCGGTGGCCAGGACCAGCCCGCCCATGCTGCCAGCCCGTCCATGCTGCCATCTAATGGCAGTAATGGCAGGACACTGGAGAGGGCTCGCCTCGCCACGGCGGGGAATTTTCCATCACAAACGTAGGGCGACTGTGGGACCGATGAGACCTTTCCATTGTTGCGGCCTTGGGAAACAAAAGGATCTTATTTTAAAATCTTGTCCCCATTCCAGCACGTGGGGGGACCCGAGGAAGCAAAGGCTTCCCCAAAGCACTGGATAAAGACACACACAGATCACAAAAGGCAGGAGCTGCTGGACACTGGGGTGGCTCTGGGAACACCCAGAGACAAAGCAATGAGGTAATTGACAAGGAAAGTACAGCCTGACCCAGGGAGAAGATGGCGAGAGCCAGCCCTGGCAGATGCAGAGTCCGGATGCTGGGCTGAGGGGTACTTTAACCCTGTGGTGCCCACTCTCCCATCCCTATCCCCTCCTGATGAACTCAGGCCAAGATCATGTAGTTACTACATTCACACCCATGGTTCCTACTCCATGGTGCTCTGGTTTGTAAGAGAAATGTGTTTTTCAGACAGCATTTAGTGGCAGACCGCATTTCCTCACTGGGTTAATGCTGCACACACAGCAGCCCAGAGCAGCATTTTCCTTTTATGTGGAGCTGCTCTGCCTCCCCAGCCCTGCCCTGCCAGCAGGACCAGGCAAGGACATTACACCCCAAAATGTGGCTTTGCCTGGGAGCAGCGTGCCACGGCCACCACGGCAGGAGAAGGAAGGATGTGCTTCCTCAGGAGAATTTGGGACAAGGCTGCTCTCCAGCCTAGCATGGGAAGGGCGTGGGAGGTGGCAGCAGTGGCAGTGGCACACGCTGGCAGCCAGTGCCATCACGCTGGCCCATGTAGCACATGGCAGTGCTGGGCAGTGGGAGCTGGCAGACAACAAAGCCTGGCTGTGCTCACCCTGCCAGTGCCTGGCAGATCTGCTTCCCCCCACACCTCAGGGACTCCCTGCTGCTGCCCAGCCGTACCTGGCTGCACTTGGGGGCAGCCTGGGGAGCTGATGGGTTTCAGTTTTCCCCAGAGTAACTCCCTGCTGTGATCAAACCAGCCTCACCTTTCCAGAGGCTCCCAGCCCCTGCAGGGGGTAACACAGCCCTGCTCACAGCACCATTTCCAAGCCAACAGCTCTTTCTTCTCCACTCTTATTTCAACTGAGGCTGTGGGGCAGCGAGAGGAGGAGATGAGAGCTGGGAGAGGAGGCAGAGTCCAGCTCACGGGCTCAGCATTCACACTTACCTGGGGCCAGGAGGGAGCACAAACCCCCAGCATCCCCTCCACACTGGACCCCCGAGCAAGGCTGCACAGAGCAGAGCCTTCCCCATCCCTGGGAGCAGCCCGGGACTGTGCTAAGTGCCCCTGCACAGGACACATCTGCCTGAACCCTGCATGGGACATCCTGCCTCTGGCTTCTCCTGCCCTGGCACAGGCATCAGGCACCCTGCAGCAGTGGGAGGAAACATCCCTCGTGGCACCACGAGGGAACAGGGCCCCTGGGCAGGCAGATGGCCAGTGAAGGCTTTGCTTTGGCAAGTGTCCCTGTGCCCAGCTGTGGCAGCTGGAAAGCCTCACACCTGGCCCTTCCCACACCACAGAAACCTGAGCCTCTACCAGAGGTGTCTGGCTCCAGCCAGCACTCGGGACTACGCAGTATTGGGGAGCTCTGGCCTCTGCTTTGAGCCTGAAATGGGTGGGAAAAACATGACATTTCCACCCACTCCAGGCACTGCCATCCTCCCTCCCACCCACCACTTCCACCAGCCAGGCCTGGACCCACCCCAGCACCTCTGCTGAGTCATGAGGCAAAGACGCTGCCAGCACCTCCTTACAACCCACAGCAGCCAAACGTCCTTAACTTGCCCCCCCCAGGAACCCCTGCCTGCCCTCCAGCAGGCGCAGTGCTGCCAGCAGGGCCATGCTGACAGGAAAAGAGCCACATTCTTGCTCAGTTTGGAAATTGGGACTTGGCCTTTTTCATATGTACAAATCCTTAAGACCCAGCCAGGCCAGAGATGGCCAAATCTTAAAACACTGTAGCCCAAGATCAGGGCTAGGCTCAGAGGACCTCTCTTCCTTGCTCTCAAACAGCAAATTGTGAAAAGCCACTGCAAGAAGTGCAGGGAGTGCTCCAAGGAAGTACGCGGGAGCAGTGGCTCTCTCTCGCCTCCTGTGCCGCAGGCTGGAGCAGGACTCGGGGCCCCCAGGCTGTGCCACACCCCAGAGCAGCAGATCCCCCCAGCACACAAGCCCCGAGCAGGCTTTCTAATGAACTTTAATAGTGAGAGGTAAGGGAGCCGCGCTGCATTCCCTGGGCTGCGCACCGGGCTCCCTCTGCTGCCGGCCCGGAGCCCTGCCCGGGAAGCTCTTCCAGCAGAGGATGCCCACGCTCGGGATGTGGAGTTGAGAGGCACTCGATGGTGCTCCGGGACAGCTGCCCTCCTCCACGGGGCACAGGGGTGGGAACACAGAGAGGCAGGAGGTGCCAGACACCCACAGCCACCTCCCCTGCAGCATCGTGGCTCTTACTGAACTGTGCTGTGCTCAAGAATGGGAGGTTGTTCTAGGGGTGCCAGGAACCCCTGTGAATGCCTTGTGGCAACCACATGGCACAGGAAAAGGAGGGCAGATAAATGAGACTCATCCCCTCCTTCCTCCCAAAACAAACCAAAACAGCTCCTCCAACACCCATCGTGCTTGTGTGTGCAGAACTGCTGTCCAGCACAGCCCCGGGCAGGAGCCAGGCTGGTGTCCCCAGGCACCCCTGTCCCTCACAGGGCCAGGTGGCAGAGGCGCATGGGCTCCACGTTGTCCCTCCCGTCACTGAAGCAGGTGCTGAAAAAGGGGCAGTATCTCTTCGCAGACACCTGGTGGAAGGTGAAGAGGTGGGACATGTCCCCAGCATCAAAGAAGGTGACAGTGCCCTCCTGGCAGTCCAGGAAGACGCCCACTTTCCTTGGGGGCTGGCGGGGAGTCAGGCGCACCCAGGGGGTGGCAGTGGCCCAGTATTCCGTCCTGTTCCTCAGGCGAAGCGTCCAGTAGCCATTCTCTGGGCACAGCTTGACCTTGGCTGCCCGGTCCACAGTGTCAGCAGCCACCCCCAGGTCCCACTTGGTTTTGCTGCCCACCCAGACCTCCCAGTAGTGCCGGCCGCTGTCGAAGGCCTGCGAGCCCAGGACGTTGACACACTGACGGAAGCGCCGAGGGCTGATGGGGACAGGCTGGGCTCGATTCCTCTCTGTCACTGCTGTCAGATCGCTGGAGAAGACCAGGTTGGGGTGGGCTGACTCAGGGTCAAAGGTGAGTGGAGCAGGAGCTGCGGAGACATCAAGCATGACATTTTACCAGCTGTAGACTCCCTCTGCAGAGCAGCCCTGGCGCACCACACCCATCTCACAGCGATGTGCTCACCAGGGCAGATGGAGCGCAGCATCTGCCTCCAGAAGATGTACTGCAAGGGACCACTGCGGCTGTCCCTGTAGTGCTGCAGGTCCAGGGCAGGCTGGGTCTCAACATGCACCGAAGGCCTGGGACAGAGAGAGGCAGGCAGGGTCAATCCCTCTGCTGAGCCGCTGCCAATGCATGCAGGAAAAGCATGGGCGGGGCTGCAGGACAGTGCTGTGTGGGACAGATTTGGTAAAGACAAGACACAAATGTCTCGCTTGCTCTGCCTGATGCAGTTCTGCCCCCAGTGCAGTGAGTGGCTCAGGACAGAGGTGTCCAATACAGAGCCAGCAGCACTGCTGGTGGAGCAGTGACTCCTGGCAAACCCACACCCAGCACACCCAACAGGATTCGTGCATGGCTGAACAGGCCAGGCCTGTGGAGTCAGACTGCATCTCAGGGAGGGAGGGGACAGGGACACACTCCCCCATGGCAGCTCTGGCCCTCAGCTACTCCCATCCTCAGACAAATTGCACCTCAAGGTCACTTCTGCAGCCTCGTGAGTAGTATGAAGCTGAGGAAGGACAGGGAGAGGATGAAGCACCCAAAGTCTGTTCCCTCTTGCAGCACACATGGCTCTTGCACCCGTTCCAAACCACCATCTCCTCCACCCACTCTTCCAGCCACGTCAACACGTAGGATGCTCCCTGGGAAGAGCATCCAGTGTATGCTGGGGACCAGCCTCCAACTTGCACAGCATCAGTGACTTCCTGAGCAATTTATGACGCTTTTAAAACCTGAGATAAAGTGCCTCTCCCATATGGTCCCAGCCAGGGACTAAGATAAGCTCCTGAAAATGGAATCAGCTTCTTTCATGCCAGACACGTACCTGATATCCAGGCTCTCCACCTGCAGTGAGAAGCAGAGAGAATTAGCAGTCACTCTAATTCATGCAGCTGCACAAATAAGCTCCTTGTCCCATCTCATGCTGTCACACAGCACAGAGAGGAAACCAAGCTACCAGGACCCCCATCCTGGGGAAAACTGTCTGGGCACTTGGACGGAGAATGAGGAAGGCTCCCAAGACCTGATGTCACTGTATCCCTTGTGGCTAGAGTCTCCAGACTCCAACGGTTTGGGCAGATAATCCAGAGGGATGGCAGTGAGAGCAACTTTGGGGTACAGCCTAGTGCTATTATTTAAGACTCTCCCATCCCAATTTGAGATCCTGAAACATCTCTCAGCCTCCTGCCAGAGTCAGCAGAGCATCTCACCTCCAGCAGTGACACATCCTCCATCCTGTTCAGGGTCAGCTTGACGTGCTCGATGTCCCTCTGCAGCACTGCTATCCCTTCCTCCAGCTGGCCAACGTGCCTGTGCAGCTGGGCCAGGGACTGCTCCCCCTTCTCACCCAGCTCTGCCAGCACAGTTCTCTCCTCTTCCTCCAGGATCTGATGAAGGCGAGCAAACTCAGCTCGAATCTTGAAGTTCAGCTCCCCAGACACTTTCTGAGCAGAGGGAAGAGGCAGAAGGTGAGTCCCATAGCTAAAACACACAAGCAGGTGCACAGGATGGCTATGCCTGTTACTCTGCTTATAGAGCCCTAGAAATTTGAGGTTTAGACATAACAATGACTTTTTGGATGGAGAACAGGACACAAGGACAACCTTCCAGGCTGCAGAGCCAAAGGAAAAAATCCCAACAAACCCAAATAACCAGCTCCAGCAAAGGCCTGGTCCATATGCAGCCACAGCCCTCTCCCACACCACCAAGAATCTGCCTGTGGGCAAGACTGGAGCGCTTTAAATTTTGTGGAGCTGCAGACTCAGCTGTTCAGGTTAGCTTGCATTTATTTCGCATCATTCCAGACCCTGAGCAGAGCTGCCTGATGGGCAAGCTGCACAAACTAATCTGTGTCATTAAGGCTGATAAAATCCCATTCAGTTCTAACCAGAGGTCACTTTTTTCCAGTTGTTTACTTGCCAGCCAACCTTGTTGTGCTCTCACTGCCTTCCTGCCTGTTTACAAGA